ACAAGACGGTGGCGTTCTCCGCGGCTTATTGTCTAATAATGTCAGAGGGTTGTGTTCTTCTCACGCTGTATTAGACTCAACCTAGACAATTCTTTTTCTGAGTGTTCGTGTGGTGCCCGTGTAGTGTGTGAGAAAGGGGAGACGGATTTCCGAGGACTACATTTCTCCACATATTACTCTGCTAGGAAGTGAAAGATCAATGTATAACTGATGTTTCCCGGAATGTCGTAACTTAAATTGTTCTTCATTTTTTTAAAAAAACGACATGTTAGTGTGTTTATGATGAATCCATCTATCCATCCATCCATCATTTCCCCCCTCCCTTTACTTGTGAGACCCTTCTTCTGTGCAGTGGGAAAGACCTAGACCAAAACCTCCAGTGATGGAGCACCCACAACTTCTGGAGGCAGGTTGTTCCACAGGTTAATTGTTCTCACTGTCGGTAAATTCCTCCTTAGTTCCAGGTTGCTTCTCTCCTTGATGAGTTTCCCTCCGTTGCTTCTTGTCCTGCCTTCAGGAGCTTTGGAAAATAGCTTGACTCCCTCTTCTTTGGGGCAGCCCCTGAGATATTGGAACACTGCAATCATGTCCCCCCTCGTCCTTTTCTTCATTAAATTAGACATACCCAAATGTTTTAGCCTCCAGTCCCCTGATCATCTTTGTTGCTCTTCTCTGCACTCTTTCTAGAGTCTCAGCATCTTTTTTACATCGTGGTGACCAAAACTTGTAGCATTTTTTAACTCTATCCTAGTTTCTGATTTCACATTAGTGTGAATTTAGCCCCCCCGCCGCCGCCACTTTGTTATCGCAATGTTACTAAAATGTCCCTTTATTCTGGAATCAATTGCGTGTCCAGTTACGTTTCCGTTGAGATGGATGGTTTAAGTATGTCATCACATGATCTGCACTTGGATAAACTCTGACGGGCTCATCCTGTAGGCCTCTAAGCATGATATGCAGAACGTGAAGGCCCAACTCAATCTGATGATAAGCAACTTCCATTCAAGGCAAATAGTAAGCGCCTGGTGCAAACCAATAGCAGCAACTAGGAGGTTGCGTTGGGTAGCTTGGATCCATCTTCCAGTTTGAACTGAGAAACTGAGCAGAAAGAAGCTCTTGGCTCAAGATTGTGAAGGAAGCCACGTTTAGTGGCCTGTAGTAAGCCTCGATCCAAATATTACCACTGACCCTAATTCCTGATCATGATTCAATTCTGGGTGATGCTTAGTAGGATAACTGATCGACATGAACCAGGAATTTTTTTTTATGGGCAAATTATACGAGAAGAAAAAAATTCTGTTGGCAATTTTACAATGGACACACACCTCTCTGAATGTAAATGCATGACTCAACATCTCTTAAGAAGTTTTAGCCATTGGATTAGCCTGTAAATCCACGAAAAGTGAAATGTCAGCTAGGATTTTAGTCTCTGGATTATCTTTGATAATTTTATCTAGAAACGAGTGTCCAATTACTGTTGGATGACTGGCTCACTTGTGTGGTGAGAAAAGAGCCCCTGTGTGGATGTTGTAGCAGTGACTCAGCAAACCCACATCAAAATTGCCCACTCTTATATCTTTCTCTGGTTTTTTTTTTGGTGTGTGTGTGTGTGTTGGACCTAAAATTATATTTTGCTGAAACTCTTAAATTCCCTAATGTGTCACCCCGTATCCTACGCAGATCTCCAGCACATATAATAATAATAATAATAATAATAATAATAATAATAATAATAATAATAATAATAATAATAATAATAATAATAATAATAATAATAATAATAAAAGTTGGAAGGGACCTTGGAGGTCATCTAGTCCAACCCCCTGCTCAGGCAGGAAACCCTATACCATTTCAAGACAAATGGCTATCCAGTCTCTTCTTAAAGACTTCCAGTGTTGGAGCATTCACAGTTTCTGGAGGCAGGTTGTTCCACTGGTTAATTGTTCTGACTGTCAGGAAGTTTCTCCTTAGTTCTAGGTTGCTTCTCTCCTTGGTTAGTTTCCACCCGTTGCTCCTTGTCCTGCCTTCAGGCGCTTTGGAGAATAGCTTGACTCCCTCTTCTTTGTGGGCAGCCCCTGAGATATTGGAACACTGCTATCATGTCCCCCCTTCAAGGTAATCCTTGATTGTGGTCCCCCCTTGAAGGTAATCCTTCAATGGGGACCACAATTAACCCCAAAATTTCTGTTGCTAAGGGTCACATTTGTTAAGTGGCTTTTGACCCATTTTATGACTTCCTTTCTTGCTACATTTGTTAAGTGAATCAATGCAGTTGCTCAGTTAATAACACGGTTGTTAAGTGAATCCGGCTTCCCCATTGACTTTGCTTGTCAGAAGGTCGCAGAAGGGGATCACGTGACCCCGGGACGCTGCAACCGACATAAGTACAAGTCAGTTGCCGAGCATCTTAATTTTGATTACGTGATCATGGGGGTGCTGCGACGGTCGTAAGTGTGAAAAAGAGTCATAAGTCACTTTTTTTCAGTGCCGTTGTAACTTTGAACGGTCACTAAGCGAACTGTTGCAGATTACCTGTACTTCAGCCCTTTTTTTCAGAGGAAAATGTGGCTATTTTCTTTTTAAAAAGGAAGGATAGAATGATGATTGTGTTGATGAATAAGAAGGTGGAGAGAATATGGTAATTGAAAATAGTAAAGCTTAATACAGGATTTGGATTTATATAGATGAAGTGTTACTGATGATTGTTTTGATTGACTGAACTGTATTGAAACACATTAATTTGAATATAATAAATATTATTTGAGGGAGTAGAGAGGGAGTTTTTAATGATTTAATTTGAATTATATAAGTATGATTTTGCTCTTGGATAATTAATTACCCTTTCATCATGTTGTTTCTTAAGCACTTGTTTGTAAAAAGAAAAAAACTAATAAAAGTTGTTTTTTTTAAAAAAAAAAAAAAAAGGAGGAGGAGGAGGAAGAGACAATAACTAAAAATTTCCCAGGGCGGGTATTCTGAAAATGTAAATAATCAAGTGCTATTTTGCACAGACCACGAGAAGCGTAAAGCTGAGTTTCCACTAAGCCACGAAAAAACCGGAAAGGAGAAATAGTGAGGTTAAAATTTAAGAGTTGTAACTTTTGGGGGGAAAGCCTTTTTCTGTCACTAAACAGTCGGTTCTTTTAAGAGGTTCAGTCCTTGTGCGTACAAGGTTCACTTTACCGGTTTAAGTCGTGTTGAGTTTCTTGAACTCTCCACCAAGTTAGAGCCATCCAGGAAGAGCTTGACCAAGGGTGCCTTTGCAGTAGTCAAGCTTGCCTTCTACTCATCTGCTTGGTGAGCTTCTCAACTTTGGTGAACAGGATTAACTGAATTGCAGTTACTTTCCTTTCATTTGCTAAATTGAAGCTCAGGTCTTCCTCTTAAATCAAGGAGGTCAACACCAGGGATGATGTTGAGGAAGTGGGCAGTGGAGCTAGCTACGCCTCTTCCCTTCCAGAAGTTCAAGATAACTTCCACAAGGGACTTCCTTTCAGTTCATCCATACTTGTGAGAAGGCTGAGAAGATCGACGAGGGCAGGGTTGCCTACTTTAACCTATGATTTAAGAGTCTGTGGAGATTCTCAGTCATCCAGGTCATGGTTGTGAAACCATGAAAAAGCACCTTTGGGACAACCATGATTAAGTGGAGACTTGACCCTGGAAGCTGTCATGGTTCCGACAGATGAAACTCTTCAAAGAACTTCGAGGCATTGTTTACCTTAAAGAATCTTTATTTTGAGTAGCATAACATAGGCAGTGCATAATCGAAGCCAAAAACTGAATTCCCCTCCCCTGGGCACATAGTATCAAAGCACAATTCCCTCCTCCAATTAACAGTCATAAATCACATTCTCCAATTAGCTTGAAGCACGAGCTTCCTCTCCCGTTCTCCAGCCCGCCAATTCTTATCATCTCTGGTTACGATAACCTTGATTCTCACGCTAAGTTTAATGTTGTTATATCTAGCTGGACTCTCATTCACATCCCCCCTCCCAGCATCATCTAACTCTAAAAGCAAAAGGTAAAAGATGGCTACATTTCCATTTGTTGTCAATGCAAAAACATCCGATGTTAGCAGTGTTGACAGTAGAATAACTAATTTTCTCAGTTTAGGTGTAAGAGATCTATACTCTATAAAACTCGACTAGGAGTTTTAATTAAAGGTCCGGTCAATGTTTAAATGGGGAAACTCTTTCAGGTTTTGTTCTGTGTAACAAAAAGGGAGATATATAAATGTAATTAAAACCAAGTGGTTTCTTTCCTTTTTCTCTTTAGCGATTTACGCCGACGGCGTCCGAGTGAAGGGCTATTTTGTCTGGTCTCTCCTGGACAACTTTGAATGGATTTGTGGATACAGCTCTCGGTTTGGGCTCTTCCACGTAGATTTTGAAAACTCGGCATTGCCCCGAGTGCCTTATAAATCTGCCATTAAATATGCAAAAGTCATCGCCAACAACGGGCTGGAGAAATCACCTAGATAACAGATGAACATCAACGGACTGGACGGGACGGTCTTTTTAAAACGGGATGTGGGTTTTTAATAAACGTCCGTCCAAAGCGCGATCAGCAAAATTGCAGGTATAAGAACAATAACTACACAGGGGATGTAAAACCTACATACCGCAAGACGTGGCTTTTTAAAAAAATAAACTCGAAATGCTGGGTGGCTATTATGTACTACTTCCACAATGTTTATTATTGGACCGGGCAGAAATTCATTAAGATAAACCTAAGTAATTAACCCACATTGATTAAATAGGGTTGGTACATCAGTGGTTTGGTACTCTTTTATTTTTACTTTTTTTTAAAAAAAACAACAACAACTGCATACGGGTAATTCAAATTCTGCGCCAAGGATGGATGAATTCGGTGACCTGCACTAATTAGGCAAATTTGCCGCATTTTTTTCATTGTACGCAGTTTGTCCTGGAAAGCTAGTCAGAAGTGAAAGGAATGCTAAAATGTGTTTGCCGATAAAGATTGAAGCAGAGGAGAGAAACAAAACTAGTCCTCAGAGAGGCATTTGTGAAGCTTTGCCTGTCTAAAAAGCTCACGAAAGGGCTCTTTTTCTGTGACAAAGTGAAGGCTTTGGTTAAGTGGCCCATTGTGGGGCAGGAACAAGGAAAAAAACATGTATGTGCAGCCTTCACCAAATGTCCTTCTGGTGGCTCCTCAGTCGTAGCAATTGCAGAATGGCACCTGCAGGGACACGGATGGATGCCTGTTGGGTTAGGAAAAAAAGAGCCACTCTTCTGGGTGCAAAAAGTAGAAAGATTAGCAAAGGGCAACGTGCTTCCAAAGTTTGGACAGGTATTGTTCCGGAATTGGAATTGGAATTGAGAAGAGAAGAGAAGAGAAGAGAAGAGAGAAGAGAAGAGAAGAGAAGAGAAGAGAAGAGAAGAGAAGAGAAGAGAAGAGAAGAGAAGAGAAGAGAAGAGAAGATGGGAAGGGAAGGGATGGGAAGAGAAGAGAAAGAAGGGAAGGGAAGAGAAGAGAATAGAAGATGGAAAGGGAGGGGAAGGGAAGAGAAGAGAAAGAAAGGAAGAGAAGAGAAAGAAGGGAAGGGAAGAGAATAGAATAGAAGATAGAAAGGG